AACCCCTCGAACCGGGCCAAACCCGGCAAGCTCCAATCATTGCCCATCCCAACTCACCGGTGGCAGTCCATCTCCATGGACTTCGTGTGCGGCCTCCCCAAGATCGACCGCGGGCATGATCGTGGCGACATTGTGGCCGTAGTTTCAGCTGTATCATCCCCTGCCAAGGCCAATTCCTTGCTATCTATCCTTCGTCGTTTCCCAGTCCCGTAACCATGGATGCTCCAGGTACTTGCCCGTTCTACAGACTGGAAATTTTGAAGAAAAATCCTAAGGCCGCCTTCGTTGTTTCCCAGTCCCGTAACCATGGATGCTCCTGGTACTTGCCCGTTCTACAAACTGGAAATTTTGAAGAACAATCCTAAGGCTGCCATGAGGGCTATGAGTGGAAGTGGATAAGCTCACGCTACACCAAATTGTTGCAAATAATTCATGTGTCTGGGCCCTCCAGGTTTACGGTTTAGGGTTTAGGGTTAGGGTTAGGGTTCGGGTTCAATGTTTAGTCTTTAGTGTTTAGGGTTTGTAGAGTTTGAGGTACCATCCCAAGATCACCATAGAGCTAACTGACACAGAGTTTCTGTGAGTACTCGTACGAGCACGGGCTGTTCGTGAGTACTTCACTTAGTGTACTATAAAGGGGTTTCATCAACTTTCATCCTCTTATACAGTAGAGTTTTTTAAGATGTCAAACATTTTCACAGTTAACGCCACTAATGAAGGTGGAGACGCTCACGTCGATCAGGACATTGCACGGAAATTGACTAAATTGTGGCGTCGACTTTTTGAAGATGTCAAATGCGATTTCACAGTTGCAAAATTTGTGCAAATACCTCACAAGTGGGGAAAAGAAATGAAATGGCTGAAATATTTGGAGAAGATGAGAAGAAGATCAATTGTGACGGCGACTATGTGATGGAGAAAGCGAAGAGACCTCAGAAGATAAGAATAGACTGTCTGTGGACCACGTCCGGAAGGTAATGATTCCTACGCCTCCCGAGTTTGGTTTCGATGGACGGTTCTACGCCTCCTTAATTTGGTTTCGATGGACAGTCCTATGCCTCCCGAAGTTGGATTCAACGGAATGTTAGGTTCGCTGAACAGGTAGATTTTAACGTACAGCTCGAGTCGACGGACAACTATTAGATTCGATGGACGGTTAGAACTTTTAGAAATTTTGATTCGATGAACACAGTCAAATCGATGGACAGCTCGATTCGATAGACAGTTAGATTCTTAAACGGTTAGATTCGGTGGACAGTAATATTCCATGGACAGTTAGATTCAACGGACAGTCCTACACCTGAAGTTGGTTTCAACTCTTTCGAGGGGACAGACCTATGCCTCCTGAAGTTCGATTCGACGAACAGTTAGATTCAACGGGGACAGGCACATTCAAAACAGACTAGATTCGACGGACAGCTTAGATTGGACACAGACGGTTCAATTTGACAGACGGTTCAATTCGACAGATGGTTCAATTTGACAGACGGTTCAATTTGACGGACAGTGAGATTCGTCGGACAGTCGCTTCCCTAGGTTGGTATCGAGGGACAGTCCTATGCCCCCAAAGTTGGAGGTGTCGAGGAACAGAAGCAAAGTAAAGCAAAGTAGATACGCAAGTCACACTGCATATATCCAGTGCGCATATGTCAAGCGCACGCAGAGAAACCCATAGTAATCACAGCGAAAAGGTCGTACATTCGCGTAACAAAAACCCCATCGTACCGCACACCCAAGAACCACCGAACACTCCACTGACCGACAGAGTCACGCGCTGTTGACCCTCCTTGACTCCTAGAGGCATCGAAAGGGAGTCTTACTGACACTGTGTCTGTATTTGTGATGACAAGTTGACAACCCAGGAAACTTACCTACATCAACCAGAATCCTTTGGTTCAGCCGACCCATTCCGGTTCCCAACTCACCAAAAATCTGTGATTCTACCGAAAGCCCTCCGTGACTCCATCCCATTCCTATTCCCAGTTCCGTACTTAGTAAATGCTGAAGAGGCCCAACCGGGTCTGCCCGGTCCTTGACCCGCGCTTCCTGGGAACGTCCCTAACCCATGCAACAAAGCAACGTCCCAAACTCACGCTTGCCTGGGAAAGTCCCTGGTCCAATAAAACCAATCCTACATTTCACATTCATCCAAACTTCACCTACTCCTATCAAACCGCTCAATTCGCACGCAACTGCGCTGCCAGTTTCCAAAAAATCACCCTGTCTCGTGCGAAGTTCCGTAATGCTCTACAGAAGAAATGATCGGGGTGTCTCCTTCTGCGAAGCTCAATTTTCAGCAGAAGTAATGTTTCAATCAGCTCCAACCCGACCATCGAATTCTGATGAATTCGATGCAACGCACTCGTGATAAACGCCAGCTTAGCTTTCTTGCTGGTCCATGACTCAAAATCCTGAAATACCCGGAACACCAAAGCTCGACCCTCACTCAAGGCCCTATCATTTTTCATCCCTTGGCAACATCCCAGGAAGGGAAATTCCTTTCGCACCGTCAAACAACCACCCAAGAAGTCCCAGGAATTCTGGTCATTATCAGTCCGCTTGAGTGTCAGTGCCTTGTCATAACATTTTTCGAAGCGATCCAGGATCATCTCCGCCCGTTTCCTCGTTTGAGGGACAGTCCTATGTTTCCCAAAGTTGGAATTTAACAGGCAGTCCTATGCCTCCTGAATTTGGATTGGATGCACAGTCCCCTACGACTCCCCAAATCAAATCGGGATGACGTCTGATGTGACCCACAAAGTCTAGCGGTTGTAATCAGCACATAAGAACTGTGCCAGAACAGAAATACCTGAGATTGGCATTAGACGACCTCGACCCAAACTGCTAGTGTATGGAGCAGATAGAGAGCAGCATAGTCGGCCGATCGATCGATGTTTGGACAGCGCGCTCCCCCAGGGTGCGCGGGGGAGGGTGTTCCTCATTCTCTCCTGTTTGCCTCTGATACTTTTTTTTGCTATCTTCTTCTTGTTGTTTTCGAATGGTTGATGGTTGTCGGTGTAATACCTCAGATTGGCATTAGACGACCTCGACCCAAACTGCTAGCGTATAGAGCAAATAGAGAGCAGCATAGTTGGCCGATCGATGTTTGGACAGCACGCTCCCCCGGGGTGCGCAGGGGAGGGTGCTCCTCATTGTCTCCTGTTTGCCTCTGATACTTTTTTGTGTTTTCTTGTTGTTGTTTTCGAATGGTTGGTGGTTGTCGGTGTAATACCTCAGATCGGCATTAGATGGTCTCAACCCAAACTGCTAGCGTATGGAGCAAACAGAGAGCAGCATAGTCGGCCGATCGATCGATGTTTGGACAACGCGCTCCCCCGGGGTGCGCAGGGGAGGGTGCGCTTCATTCTCTCCTGTTTGCCTTTGACACTCTTTTGTATTATCTTCTTGGTTGTTTTCGAATGGTTGGTGGTTGTCGGTGTTCTTCTTCTTGGGAGTCAAGGCAGGTGCTTTGGTCCATATCTACACGGATGGCACGGTGCTCGTCACGCACGGAGGAGTGGAGATGGGGCAAGGGCTGCACACCAAGGTTGCACAGGTGGCTGCCACGTGTCTCGGTGTTCCTCTGAGCTCCGTATTCATCTCAGAAACAAGCACAGACAAGGTCAGAACTGGACCAGGTACATCTCCCTACCCCGTAGATTGTTGGAGTGGAATTTCCTCAAGAAAAAAAAAAAAAACCCCGAGAAAAAGAGAAAAGAAAAAGAAGAAAGCCCAGTGCTTCAGAGACATGAATCCTTCCATTTTTTTTAAATCTATGCCCATCCCACTGACAACATGAATTCTTACCATACTTGCAACCGCACAAGCCGCACATTCGTGTGGAGTTCTGTGTGGGGGGTGCCTGTGCGGAATCGTGCAGGTTTTTTATTTTTATTTATTATTATTATTAATTTATTATTAATTTATTTATTTATTTTTGGGGGGGCCGGGGGCGTATGAAAGGAAGATGGGGATATAGCGAGAGGAGGAGGAGGATGTGGACGAGGAGGACGACGAGGATAGCGAGAACGAGGAGGAGGAGGAGAAGTACAGATGGGGGAGGAGAAGAGATGGACGGAGGGAAAAGAGGAAGGGCAGGAGGAGGAGGACGAGTGGGAGGAGGAGGAGACATGGACGGCGAGGAAGGGGAGGACACGAGGAAGTGGAGGACACGAGGAAGGGGAGACGAGGCGACGAGGAAGCACGAGGAGGAGACAGGAGGAGGAGACATGGACGGCGAGGAAGGGGAGGACACGAGGAAGTGGAGGACACGAGGAAGGGAAGGAGACGAGGACGTACGAGGAGGAGACAAGGAGGATGAGGAAGGGCAGGAGGAGGAGGATGAGTCAGAGGAGATGAAAAGGATAAGGGAGGAGGAGACATGGAGGACAAGGAAGGGGAGGAGGAGCGAGGTGAGGCAGCACCCCTGCAATTTTTCTTTTCATCACAATTATATTTTTCGAATGCACCGTTTCGACCCCCAGCCTTCTTTTTTTTTTCAGAGGGGGGTGACGGGTCGTTCCCCGCACGCGTTGTGCGCCGCACGGGATCGGTTGGACGTGTGCGCTGCATGTCGGGAACGGCCCGCACAACGTGCGCTTGCAAGTATGATTCTGACTGCCTGTTCATGAATTAATCTTTTCTTTTCTTTTCTTTTCTTTCTTTTCAAAAGGTAGAAACAGGGCCTTGTGGCCCTGGCTCCATGCCCACTCTGGCTAGAGTCAGCCTAGTTCCTTCTCCACCGGCAAGTCATAACAAGGAGGAAAAAAGGAGAAAAAAAAGGAGGAAAAAAGGAGGAAAAATGGAGGAGAAATGGATAAAAAAGGAGAAAAAAGGAGACAAAATGCCAAAATGGAGAAAAATGGGAGAAAAATAAGGAGTGTACAACAAATGACACACCCATGCTTCCTCCTGTTGATGCCTCCCTGTGTATGCCTGATTTCATTATTATCATTATTATTATGATTTAAAAAAAGTCTTCTGAGAAACGTTCTGAAAACATTTGCGATTTCATGGGATGAAAGCTCCCCCTCCTTGTCGGTCTCTCTGTCTTGCGTATGGCTGGAATTTTTTTTTATAAAGAAAAACAAAGGACTCTTGAGGAAACATAGCACCACCATGTTTTGCTGGAAACCAGAGGTCTGGTGAAGCGTAGGTCTCTGACGCTGACTTTTGGTGTTTCGTGTCTCGTCGTTTCTATCCGCTGATTGCCCATTTATGAATGCATTTGAACGTGAATACATGGCTTGATTCATATATGCACTTGGACATGAATGTGGCTCTGTTCAGGTTCCGAATGCGTCTCCGACTGCTGCCTCTGCGAGCTCTGACCTCTACGGCGGAGCAGTGATGGATGCTTGCCAGCAGCTCAATGCACGGATGCAGCCGGTGAAAAATAGATTTCCACCAGGAACTTCGTTAGGAGTAGTGAGTATTTGATTTCCCATTCAGCCCTCCCTCTCCCACGCCCTCCCTCTCCCAGTATTAGTTAGTATCTTCTTCTTCTTCTTCTTCTTCTTCTTCTTCTTCTTCCTCTTCCTCTTCCTCTCATTGAGCAGGCACTGATTGCTGTCTTCCTTCTTCTGATTATCAGCGGACTGGTATCGTGGGCCGACAAAGTACTGGACTTTTTTTACCTCAGGAGCCCGGCAGTCTATTGTCTGATCTCCCCTTGGTGTCGGAAGACGTATGTTGGACAGTCTGTCCGAGGTACAGGTGAGAGATGGTGGGAACATATCCGGTGCACGCAGTCAGGTAACAATGGACGCGCACCTAAGCTGTGTTCCTTTCTAAAAGCTTTCGGGTGGCAGAAGTACTTGGCCCTCCCCATAGCGTTGCGTACGAAGGAGGGTTTGTTAGCCTTGGAGAAAGCGTACATCAGCAGGCTATCTCCCGCGTTGAATGTGATTGGGAAGAGTGTAGGGACAAGAGCTAAGAAGAGACCAGGAAAGAAAGAAAGGAAGAAGTGCAAGACAGTGACCCCCGTGTACAGAACTGGTCTTTTGACGTTCGTGATAGCGGATTCTGAGAAGAAGTTGTTTAATTTGACTGGGCTGTTGGGAGAGGCATGTACAGGGAAGAAAACTATCACCTTTGTTTCGTCTGGAGGTGAGGTCTGGGGGGGAGAAGTGGTCTATAGTAAAAGAGACTTTTTGGTGCGTCGACGCTTATCGGCGACCAAGGCAAAAGTCCTCTTGCTAGGTCCAAACAAAGTCTGAGAAGGGAGGCATCTTAAGAGTAGCACCTATTGTCAGGACTGAGAACGTGAGGGATAGAGGGAAATGATACCTTAGGAAGGGAAATGCTACCTTAGGACACTCCTAGAGATGCCTAGGAAAAAGGTGGATCTCAAGTAGTACTTCAACATTCCCAAACTGGTTTACTTGTACAGATGTGCTAGGGAGTTCAGTACTAGAACCACGCGAAAGACCCTGAAGGAAGGAAATGTTAGCGGCAATGATCCGGAAGAAAACGGGTGTGAACATCAGGCTGAAATTGAATATAGGTGTGAAGTATAACCACCACCATTTGCAAAAGAGGAGGATTCATGATGCAACTGTGAAGTGTGTGGACAGATGTAAGATCCATCCAGTTTTGAAGACAGTGATGCGGCACAGAGTGAGAGTGGTCTGGAAGAAGAATAGGACAGTTGAGCAGGTCCTCACCAATCGTCAAGCGGTGGCTAGAGCATCCAGCATGCCATGCGCATGTCACAAGGATAGGCTACTAAGAAACGAAGGGCATGTGCTATCCAGGATATCGCAGTGCATACCCTTTCTTCATAACGGGAAGAACAATCTGCAGAGTACCTTCGACCCAGAACTCTCAAAGGTACAGCAAGCCGTTGAGCAGACCCTTAAAGTTGTGATGAAAGAGGAGCTTATATCGTCGGCAGGCAAACGAAGCTGGTTTGAGGATTGTATCTCTAACGGAGCTGTGACACGGCTTGGATGTACCGATGTGCAGGCTTGTAGGCTGGTGGAGGAGCTCTGCCATTTGGTCATTGTTCCGGTAGACCTGAACCCCGGCGATTCGGTAGTCGTGTGTCCATCCACCTATCATCACAGACTGCAGTTGATGTTCAACCTCAATGTGGCTTACGAGCAGGTCTCGGAGAAATCTGAGGCAGATGTACTAGCTGTAGTACACAAGGACTTCAGGAAACAGAACTTAGACAAGATTGGAGCCTGGAACCCGACAGCGAAGCCTTGGCAAGATGGAGGCCTATTGCACCAGCATGTACAGACGGTACGAATACTGCAGGAAGAAGAATAGCAAGGGCACTGAACCATTTGCTGAGAGAGTACCTTGCTAGGCATTTGAACTTAAAAGCTATGGCTTTGCTGAAACCGAACCTGGAGAAGGCAGGGAAGAAACTAAAGCTTTTTGGAGAGAGATCCATGGCCCTAATGGCGAGTTAGGACATTAAGGAGATGTTTACATCCTTGCCGCACAGGCAGATTTCCCTGGCGGTGGATTGGCTACTGCAGCAGTGGGAGAAGAGAGGTGTCCATAAGCTGAGCCTCAGCAGGAGAGGCCGAGTGGTGGTCCTCAACCACAGAGGTCCAGGACCTGGGTACGTATGCGTGAGTTTCTCTCAGATCAGACAGATGGTCAGGTTTGAGTTGACCAATACATGTATCATCAGCAGATCTGTTATCCTTAAGCAGCGTGTGGGCATCCCTATGGGGAAGAACTCCAGCCCAGCGTTGGCCTGTATATTGTGTGCGAAGTACGAGGTCGATTTTCTCGCATCTCTAGGTAAGGATCAACGGCTCGTGCATGGGGTCAGGCTTGTGGACGATGTCACATTGGCAGTCGCGTGTGACATGGATGATTTGAAGAGTGTAGTCGCAGCAGTGGACGTCCGCCGGAAGTTTGCAGCAGCGTATGGCAGCAGAGTATCCTGGGATTTTCTGGGTACCAGAGTCTCCGCGATACTAGGTCCTATCAAATTTCTGATCCGTCCCAGGCATAAGAATGAAGAACATGACCTTGAGAAGCCCCTTCCTTTCAGATGTTTTCAAGATTTCAGCTCATACTCAGACAAGAGATTGAAGGTGGGGACTGTGACGGCAGCACTCTACAGAATCCGACACCATGGAAGTGACCCGGCAGCAGCGGCTCCGGCAACGTTGTCTGTCAGCATCGAGCTCAGGCGCTGGGGTTCTTCAATGCTGTGGCTAGGTTTGCCAGAGCCACCGGTTCGTTCGGTACAGCGATGGAGACGCTGACCGGGCAACTGGTTACCCGACTGTACCATGGATCTAAGGTACCGGCCGAAGAGCAGAAAGCTGAGTATAGGGTGTAGTAGGATCAAGGTAGGCTGTCACGGTAGGCAGTAATGTACATTAATAGGTGGATTAGAAATCAGGAAAGTCGGCCTGTACATTAGTCGGATCAGGGCCGGGGAAGCATGTCTGGCGCCAGGAACCAGGAGCAAGGCTCGACAGATGTTAAGACCGTACGGAGACGGAGGTAGGTCCGTACGAATTGGGCAGCAGGCACGGGGAGCGGCACTGGTGTAGACGCCAGACCTTGGGTATTAGAACGGGTAGATTTTTCCCACGTCGTACGGTAATAACCAGTTATACAACACCAGTGCAGGGTATACCGAGTAGTAAGGTATGGGTATCGGAAAATAGAAATAGGAAGTGGTAGATCGATTACAAGGGCAGAGTTCAGATAGCGGGAAGGGGTGTGTAGGATGTGGAAAGCCCCAGGCGATTAACACCCGGTAACTGGACTGGGCTCCGAAGACCCTGGCACAGGAGTAACGACCTGGCAGGCAGGTGGAGAGTATAGCTGTATAGACCCTAAGGTCTGCTAGAGCCGCGCATGCGACCGGGCAGGGGGTGCTAGAGCCGCGCATGTGACCGGTGCACGTGGAACTGGAAAAAATATAGCACATTTGGTGCACGCGTGAGGGAGCAATAGCGGACGTGTGCAAGGGCGTACCTGAGCTGCCACTACATGCCATGGGTGAGTCCCAGTCCGTTGCTGTGATGTGTGCCGTTGCACGCGTGGAAGACATATTAACAGAGGGCAAGGCCAGAACGACCCTCTTGCTCAGGTGGAAAGTCAGGTGGATGCAGGAGTGAGGTTTGCCCCTTGAGAAGCCTGGTGCGCAGCCGGGCGAAACGTGTCAGGGAATGTGCTTGTTTTAGTTGAAGTCTGTGTGGGAGTTGTATTGCTTATCATCTGGACATGGACGCATAGCGCTGGCCTCGCTACTTCAATTCAATTCAATTCAATTCTTCTCCTTCTCTTTCTCCTTCTCCTTCTCCTTCTCCTTCTCCTTCTCTTACTGTTTTTATTGAAAAATTCGATGACCTCGAGATATCATCCTGAAACTGACAGCCCCAGGTAATTTAGGAATTTCGTGCATCTGGTTTTATCAGGATTGCATCATCGTGTCCTTCGGGACATCCGTTAAAATTGGAACGATACAGAGAAGATTAGCATGGCCCTTGCACAAGGATGACACGCATAAATCGAGAAATGGTCCAAATTTTTATTTAAAAAAACGAAACAAAAAAAAAGGATTGAATCATCGAACTCAGGACTGAATTTCAACAATTTGTGGGCGTACCAACTGAGCTAGGCCCCTTATTCCACTCATCCTTTTTTATTTTTTTTATTTTTTTCGCTTCAAGTACTCCTCAGTTCTCTCCCTTTCTGCCAGTTTGTTGTGATGTGTGGTTTGCTTTCCGCAGTTCTCATTGTGTTCATGTTCATGTTTCTGCTATGGATAAGAGACCGGGTGCAGTCTTCAGTACTAATTTTCTGTAGTACTATTTGTCTTGGCTTGGCTTGGCTTGGCTTGGCATGCCTCGCATGTACCTGGTCGTTGGTTGAACCTGGCCCAATACCTGACCAGGCTCATGCAATCGTTTTACCAGACACGGTCATGATTTGCGCTTTGACCAGCCATTGTGCTCATGTGTGTGTTTTTCAACAAAAGAACAAACAAAAACAAATTCTCTCCTCATTCCAACCACAAATCATCAATCCATACAACATAAAACTTGAAATAAGTTATAGATTCTATAGAATCTATCGATAGGCAATATATTAGACGATGCAAGGTTGCCCACATTTGTGTGGTTGAGCGGCAACTGCTCACACATGTGTGTGTGTGTGTGTGTGTGTGTGTGTGTGTGTGTGTGTGTAGTGCAGAGCGGCTCTTTAAACAAAAAAAAAAAAAGGCTTCGACGTTTGGTGGGCAGCTCTCATAAGGGGGGGAGGGGGGGGGGGAAGGGGGGGGAACAGGAAAAAGGGATGGGTTTTTATGCATCGTGCTGTGTGACCCCTCGGCCCGTATAAAAAAGAGTTGAGCTCGCTTGCATGCTTTCCAATGTCTTTGTTGTTGTTTCAGATTGCCGATGCATGTCACAAGGAGAGAATTGATCTGAGCGCACATGGGTTCTACGTGACACCGGGCATCGACTTCGATTGGAGTGTGGGCCGTGGAAGTCCGTATGCATATTTCACGTCCGGAGTAGCAATTGCCGAGGTAGAGATAGACGCTCTCACAGGGGACTTCCACGTCATTCGTGTGGATATCTTTATGGATATCGGAAAGCCACTTAATCCAGCAATTGACATTGGCCAGGTAAGGGACACGGAACCGACGTTTCAGCCTTATAATGGAAAGGTTCCGATATTCCCCCCCCAAAAAAAGACATGGACAGGTAAAGATGTATGCTCCCTCTGCAATACTGAGGTTTAGGAGCTGTCTCTTATACACATCTAGATGTGTAAAGTAGGGGGCTTTAGGGCAGCACAGCAAATCCGGTCGAACAGAAATCTGGCGGGATGATCCAAGGGGGGGGGAGGGAAGGGGGAGGGCGCGTCTGGATTTCCTGATAGAAAGGGTTCAGACTTTAAAGTGGAGATGCTTAGTTGATTAAATCATTAAAATTCATTAAATTAAAAATTTTAAATTATTAATTAATTTTTTTATTTTTTATTTTGTTTGTGATAATAATTGGAATTTTCGTTTTGCTTTGATATTATTTTTTAACCTCAGCTCTGTTACGCATTTAGAGTCTTTTACAGGTGACCTTCCACCAAAAGCAATCACAAAACGGAAGGCTTGGGCTCCTCCTCTTCTCAACCCCTTGAACTCCACGACGTCTGGAAGAATAAAAGGAAAAAGACACGAAAAAGGAAAAAGAAAAAAAAGAAAGAAAGAAAGAAAAAAAAAAATCCACACACAAGAAACTGCCAGTGATATAGTGGAGGATGGTCAGAATGACATCAGGTCTGCATGGTCCTCTTGGGATGGCTGTTTGTTTGTATCACAAGTTTGTAAAAAAAAAAAAAAAAGGTTTGTAACCCTCTCTACAACACGCTGGCGGGAAATGTTTGCACGCTGCACAAAGATCGAAGGGCGTTTTTTTTTTCAGGGGACATCAAAGAAAGCAAGTGGGGAGAGAGTATCCATGGATAAGGCGAGGGCATAGGGGGGGGGGGTGTATAGAAAGGATGTGAAGTGGACTTGCTTGACTTGGGAGGAATGAGCCCTCGCACCTGAATGCCCGAGGGTCCCCAGCAAGCCTCATGCCCGCCCTAAGTGAAGGTGGGCCCAGATTTCGACATGAGGCGTCATTTTTGTAAATTCTGCATGTTGGGGCGCGGGACAGTTGCCACACGCCAGTTGGTTATAAGGGCCACACCAGTGTGAACACGACATTGCGAGAGCACAGGGCTCTCTCCCAGGCAGCGACGTGGCTCAGGGCCTCTCGGCGAATGGGAAGGCAGCGAACACAGCGGTGGCCACGTCGCACAGTTGGGCTAATGAACTGCTGCGGGCCCAGGCCACTGGCTGCAATGGGACCCGACCAGAAGGTACTGGAAACACAGTCGGCCAGGCCCAGGGCTCGTGAGAGCAGGGCTCCCTTTCCTTATAGGAAAGTGAGAGCCCAGCGAGCCCAGCCAGAGGACATTCTGGCCTTACAAGACAGAAACGGCCACGCTGCTGCGTTGAGCACTGGCAGGCTTCCCGCACGCTGCCGGGCAGAGGAGGATCACACGTGCGCAAGCGGTGAGAAGGGTGCGGCTGGGCAGCGGACGCACGGCAGCCATAGCCAGGCTGGCCGCACGGCGATGGTGCTCTTCAGGAGAGGGAAGACTAAGTGGGAGAGAAGCGGGTGGTGAGGCGAGAGGAAGAAGAGACACGTACCTGGTGTATGCGGCAGTCTGCATTCGCGACTCCGTCACGTACATTGGTCTTGCGCTTGAAGTGACTCCTGTTGCATGAACGTAGTCTATAGGCTGACTCCTGTTGCATGAACGTACCTGGGGCGCCATTGGATACTATGTTGCGGGTGGCGGTGAGAGAGGGCCTGCATTGACATTTGAGTTCATTGTATTCCTCGTAATATTTGGCTTGTATCCCATTTCCTTTCTCAATAAAACACCCTTTGGACCTTTGGATTCCGGGAGACCCCCTTTTTTTTTGGGGGGGGGGGGGGGGGGGGGGGGGGGGGGGGGGGGGGGCGTGCTCCTGCACTGATTGGCGGTGCGCGGTACCTGCTGGCCACCTGGGCTACTACTAATACTACAATTTGAAAAAAAAATCCTATGTTATTTTTTTTTTGTTCTTCAGTTCTGTTATTATAGATTTGTCCGATTCGAAGAATTCTAGAAGATACTCCCTCCAAATGCTGTTTGTATAGTAAGATCTTAACCCTCTACCTCGTATCCTCTGGAATGTTGCACACAGATCGAAGGGTCGTTTGTTGAGGGAGTGGAGTGGGCAACAACTGAAGCTCATAACCAGCCTGAAGTGTATAGACAAGGTTCAAAGCAGCGTTGTTTTTATTTGAATTTATTATGCTGTGCTCTAGGCTACCAGAGTTGCCCGGGACAACTTGCCCGGCCGGGCCAAAAAAGAAAAAAGAAAAGAAAGAAAGAAAAAAAAAAACTATTTTTTATTTAAAATATTATCAAATTTTATGTTAAATTTGGTATAGAATTTCGATGTGACTCTGAGGCAAAAGTTGTTCAGTTTATTTGTCTGCATAACATAGGGGGGGGGGGGGGGGGTTGAACTTTTTCGGATTTTTTTTTTTTTTTTCCCCGGCTGAGACCTTCTCTGGTCCTTGCCTGGCCGGGCCGCCTGGGAAAAAAACAGGTTGACCCGGCCGGCCTGGCTGGTAGCAGCCTAGGCTGTGTTACTATTTCTCGCTTCAGCTCTGTTGCCGATTTAGAGAATTTTAGAGGTGACTTTCCACCAAATGTTAAGAATTGTGTCGTTAGTTCGTGACCCTTTACGACGTACCTACCGTCTGGAATGTGTGTGCACAGATTGAAGGGGCGTTCGTTCAAGGGATGGGGTGGGCGACCATCGAAGAACTCAAGTGGGGAGACATAGAGCATCCGTGGATAAGGCCAGGGCACCTGTTTACGCAAGGACCTGGTGCTTACAAAATCCCCACGGTGAACGACATCCCTATCGACTTCCGAGTCACACTTTTGAAGGTAAAGCTCACTTGCTAGTAGCTGCTAGTAACTTGCTACTACCAGTCTTCGTCTTCTTTTCTACAGGAAAAAATGGAAAAAAAAAAAAAAAAAAAAAAAGATGAAATTTTAAATTTTGAATTTGAATTTTGAACACATCATTAGTTCTCGGTTTTGTGCATGGCATCGTCGCTCAATGCGCACGGTACATGCTAATCGTCTTCTCTGCATTGTTCCAATTTTAACGGATATCTCCAAGGACTGAAACCTTTCTTTTTTTTGTTTTACCTTTTTTTTTTTTTTACCTCTCCTGTTTTCTACTTATGGAAGTTTTGTAGCTGTAATGGTGTGTGATGATGCTGTGATCTTATTTAAAGTTAGTTTATTTGTAGATGATTTACCACTAGGGCACTTCCCAAATTTGTTTGTGTTTTTTTTTTTTAACTTTTTTTCTCTCTTTTTTTATGCCAAAAAAATCTCTATTAGTGTGAAGGAAATCCAAAAAAAAAAAGAAAAAAAAAAAGAAACAGACGTAAATGATCAGTTGTGATTCGAGTTCCTCAAAACTCGCTTTGACTTTGCGCTTCAAAATAGAATAGAATAAAATAAAATGAATAAATCATTTAATTTTTTTGCTTATGGAAGTTTTGCAGCTGCAAATTCTGTCATCTTACATTATTTGTAGATGATTTACCACTAAGGCGCTACCCCCATTTTGTTCTGTGGGTAGAGTGTGCGACCAGGTGGCGAGCGATCTTGGAACAGAGCAGCGCAGCACTGCGCTGACTCCCGCAGCCGGACCTTTCTGTGAGTAGTAGTGGAAACTTCGCAGGGTTGGCAGGGCGCCCGGGCACTTGACGGGATGAAGTTTCAGAGGACCCTAGTGGGTTCCTTGCTAGGGCTGACCCGGACCGGATGATGCTAATATTCCTTCTTGGTCGAGTAGGGCGAGGGGTGTCAGTGGGGGAGTCCGATAGGTGGTGTCCGATTGCCGCGCTCTACCAGGTATCTAACTCGATCAAGAGGGCTTCTGCCCCCCTGGTCCTCATATCCACCGCTTCTTGAAGTCGAAGCTTGGGCGTCCCCTTGTGGGTCGTCTGCTTCATGTTGGCCGGGGGAGAGTCGGA